ATGCTCTATAGCAACAAAAACAGCTAAATACTTGGGTCATATGGTCTCTGAGCAAGGGATATTAATTGATCCAGATAGGGTTAAAGCTATCCGTGATTTTCCTGAACCAAAAAATAAGACTGAGCTGTCAAGATGGCTGGGTATGATTAATTTTGCTGCAAAATACATTCATAATAAATCTGAGATTCTTGAACCATTAACACACTTACTAAAAAAAAAATATTAACTTTTTGTGGGGTCCAGCACAAGATAAAGCTTTCAGCACTTTAAAACAAAAGTTAGAGAGCCCTCCAAATCTAGCGTTTTTTGATGCTAATAAAACCATAATTGTTAGTGCAGACTCAAGTTGTTTTGGTATAGGTGCATGTCTATTTCAAGAAAATGTAGATCATACTCGGGAAATAGTGGCTTTTACATCTAGGCTTCTGAACTCAGCTGAAACACGATACGCTCAGATTGAGAAAGAAGCTCTTGCACTTACATGGGCAGCAGAATATTTTTATGATTTTATTTCAGGAGTTCCTAACCTAATTTTTGAAACAGACCATAAACCTTTACTACAAATTCTGCAAACTAAAAATTTAGATGAGTTAACGCCACGTTTGCAAAGATTTCGAATGCGTTTAATGCGATACAAGTATACTGTAATCTACACGCCGGGAAAAAATTTAATTGTAGCAGATACTTTAAGTCGGGCCCCTTTACAAACAGATACGTTAGCTAATAAAGAACTAACTGCTGAAACTGCAGCATATGTGCAGTCAATTATTCATAATTTACCAATTAAAGATTATTTTTTGAATTTAATAAAAACAGAACAAGAAAATGAATATATTTGTAAAAAACTAAAAGAATATTCTTTGTCTTCTTGGCCTGAAAGATCTAAATTGCCATTTGAATTGTTGCCATACTATCAATATAGATATGAAATTTCCTATTCGGAACAATTACTTTTAAAAGGGTCTCGCATAATCATTCCTAAGAGTCTTCAACTCAAGGTGTTGGAATTTATTCATACAGGCCATATGGGAATTGTAAAATGTCGAGATCGTGCCAAACAGAGCGTTTGGTGGCTGGGTTTGTCATCCCAGATTAATAACCTTGTCACACATTGTCCCCAATGTGTTGAACACAGAGTAAATCATAGAGAAACATTTCATAAAGACAATACTGTACAAAGGCCGTGGCAAAAACTGGGGGTTGATTTGTTTAAATGTTATGATAAGTGGTATTTGATTGCCACTGACTACTTTTCACATTGGTTTGAAATTTTTACTTTAACCAATATGACAGAAGATGCCATTATTCCTAAGCTTAAAGATATTTTCTCTCGTTATGGTATCCCAGAGGAAGTTAGATCCGACTGTGGTACTCAATTTTCATCAAAATTTATAAAGTTTTCAAAAGAATATAATTTTGTTCATACGACGAGCAGTCCGCACTGGCCTCAGAGCAACGGTGGAGTGGAACGCACTGTACAAATTGCAAAAAGATTAATTCAGAAAAATAAAAAAGAGGACCTAAGTTTGGCATTGTTAGCATATAGATGTACACCCCTAGAATGTGGTGTTTCACCTTCTGAATTATTAATGAATAGAAAATTAAGATCTAACTTACCCCAGCTTCCAAGCTTATTAAACTTTTCAAAAGAACCAAACACTAAAAATAAAAAGAATGAAATAAAGGATAAACAAGTGAAAAACTACAATAAGCGACACAATGCCAAGGATTTAGATCCTCTTAAGGTTGGTGATTCTGTGTGGGTGGTTGATATCAGGAAATATGGGCGAGTTGTTGCGATCTGTCAGGAACCCAGGTCCTATATAATTGAAACTGAAACCGGGAAATTTAGAAGAAATAGATGGCATTTGATTCATGCACCCTACTGTTTCCCTGTATTGAGCACCCAACCAGAATCCTCAAATGATTATGTTCCGCCAATTTCTAGTAGCACAAAGCTAATGCCTTGCTCTAATCAAAGCAATGGTGACATACAGGGTAAAATAATGGAGGAAAGTAGTAGGGGGGAACCCAGTGTATTTCAGGACAAAATCGAACAAAGTGGAAATCATGTTTTACCTCCATCGGGTCAGGATAAAAGCGATAGTGTATCGGACTTTGAGTGCGTAAAGCCTAGCAGGCCAAAAAGACTTGTGAAGAAACCGGTTCATTTAACAGATTATGTTTGTAGTAGTTTAAGTTAGTTTAGGTATAAGATCATTAATGACACAGGGATCTTTTATAAAAAAAAGGAGATGTGTTGTTAGCTTAGATTAAGATATAGGCGCCGGAGTTAGGCAACACAGATGACATGGATGTCATGTGAACGTAGCCGAAGCTCGGGCAAGGATGTATGTTGGAGGGTTGAGAATAAACTGATGTTGTGAAGTAACGATTATTATTTGTAACCCCTCTTTGATAACACGACACAAACCAAATTTGTTGCAGTGGATTTTTTGCTATGAAAACCATGTTGCGATTAAGATATTAAGCCTTTACATAACTAAAAAAGTTGCTTTGCTATAAGACTGTCAAAGAGCTTAGGGATTGCAGATTGTATACAACTGCTACGATAATCTTCAATAATGGCTTTCTGACCATTTTTAAATATAGGAACAACATAACTTTCTTTCCCTGAAAAAGGAAACACAGGTTTCCAGAAATCTATTAAACAATATAACAAATGATATTACAAGGGTACAGACACACTTTTTTAATAAAAAATTAGGCCCACCATCTGGACCAGCAGTAAGCTTATTGGGCAGCTCATTTATGCCATTAAAAATATCAGTCATGGTAATCTTAGATTCTTAGAAGGACAAATATTTGTACTAAAGTGGCTATTTAATGGATGTATAGGTATGTAAAGGTTGTTGTTATTTGGTGAATACACAGTTTGGAAGAAGTTCATAAATAAATTAGCTATGTCTTGACCATTTCTTGCAGATTGGACTTGATGAAATAAGGAGTTAGGTAGGTTATGACTAGACTGCTTATCATTGATATACTTCCAAAATGATTTTGGATCATTTCTTAGACCAGTATCTATACCTTTAATATAGTTTCTGAAGCAAATTTCAGTCAGTTGTTTACTTTCTGCTCTTAGGTGGGAAAATCTAATATAGTCATCATCAGTACGATTATTAAAATAAATATAGTGAGCATATTTTTTCTCCAGAGTCAGTCTTCTAAGATCAGCAGAGAACCACTTGGGAAAAGTTGAAGTTCTATATTTCTTTAATTTCACAAAGTAAGCAATTCCTGTAGAGAGAACTTCATAGAATAATTTTGTAGCAACTTCAACATCACTAACTATACATACTTGCCAGTCTATGGAAGCAAGGAAGTTGTTAAGCGCAATGTAATCACCATTCCGAAAATCATAAAACAACTCATCATAAACCAACTTATTTCTATTTGTTTCTTTAACATCGAGGTTTAAGCAACATTCATGACCCACCTGATGGATGCTAGGATCTACAAGGGGATCACTTGCTTTTAAGATATTTAGCTCCCTAACATTGAAAAAAACTAAATTTAGAAATACATTACGATTATTGGGAATATTATTATGCTGATACAATTTTAAAAAACCAAAGGCTTGAGCACTATTCACAGCTGGATCACCTGCAGGACAATGCACCATTACACCAAACTCATCATTCTCCCATAATGCATTGGGAAGATTGTAATAACCAAAAACATAGATATCTTGTGCTGAGTATTGCAGAACAACATTTTCCATAGTTTGACAATGCCAATTGTATACTTCACGAGGTGATTGTGGAGGTATGTAAACACCACTGACAACAAGCTTGACTTCATTAAGTTGACATAAGATATTATATTTGCTCAACCCGATCTTCACAAATACTAATAATTTGTGATTGTAGCTTGTTAACAAACACTAGTACACCATCGCCACTCAACTCTACACTGGTTCTCTGGGATCTATCACATCTGTAGATACTAAAACCGTCACATTTAATTTCACAATCAGTTATGTTATCATTCAAGTTACTCTTCACTAAAATAATTATATTGTACAAGCAGCAGGAAATACTTTTCAGGATCTCTGAAATCTTTGTATGAATGCCTCCAACATGTTGATGTCTCAATGAATCTGATCAATTGATGATTTTTCTGGAGTAAATCCGGCCTGGCATTTTCCAACTCTGCCCACTGTATAAATTTGTGGCATAGAGAATATTTACCATTGTCACTCATATATATTACCACTTACACTTAATTACTGAAACACATGTAGAAACTAAAGAATGTGCACTTTTCATATAATTAACCACAGTAAAAACTAAGGGAACAGTACCACTTCCTTCACATGTATATAAATCTTGGTGAATCCCAGCTTAATATGCTGAAATTTTACAACAAAGCTACCATAATATAGAGAAAATAATAAATCAGTAACAAATGCCTCTACCCATCAACAGGCTGTCCTTGCTTGATTTCATTATTGCTCTTATCTTTTTTAAACTATGTCCTAGAGTTGACTTAATAGGAAAACTGGCTTTTTTTAATGCTGACCAATGCCCTGCTTTGAAAATGGAAAACCGGTCACACCGGAGGAAAACCAGATAGGTGGCAACCCCAAATGTAACACAGAATAATAACAAATATCTGTTTCTTGAAATAATTTCATTCTTTACTATCATTAACTATACCAAGTATAACTAAACTACAACTTGTAATTTGATGAAACATAATGTTTCTGCACTTTTATTTTTATCTGTATGTTCTTTTTTACATTTATTTTAAACTTCTATACTGCACTCTAAAGAATTATCGGTTCAGGGCACTTGTAGAAAATGAAAAAATGTATTTGTTATTTCACATACAAGGAACATATGCATACTTTTAATTTTTTTTTTTAAGTAATAGCTGACCGATTTTGCTAATATATATTTCTGGCGAATTCTGTGTTATACAAATAAAAGAAAAACAAATCATTAATACATAACTGCTAATTGCATATATTTCAGGTTACCTCCTCCTCATCCTTTACAAGGATCTCTATCTCTAAACCAAAAATTAAATAATGTTGAAATAAAGTATCAAGGAAGATTGTCAGGTCCAGAATCATTTTCAGAATATGACGGTGAACTATACACAGGATTAAATAGTGGAGATATTGTGAAATTAACCGGAAATCATATATCACCCATTGTTAAGACTGGTAAACCTTGTAAAGCACAATATGAAGAGAGAATTTGCGGAAGACCTTTAGGTTTAAAGTTTCACAAAGGACTTCTTTATGTAGCTGATGCATATTATGGTATCTTATCTATTAATGTTAACAATGGTATGTAGGATCTTTTGATTTCTATTTAAAAATGTGTGTTTTTAGTGAAAAGTTTATGTATAAACTTGTATTTATGATTGATAAATATGAAATTCCAAATGGCTCAATTTGAATTGCATTGCTATTTGTGTTGAGAAGATTTACTATGAATACTTGAGTGGTTTTGTTGATTTGGAATTGCTCAAATCTTTCATAAAATTCATTTTTATTTCTTTCAGTAAAAAAAAAGATCAATGCACGGTTTGTGAATCATACAAAAATTCTTCTGTGGAACAGCTACTCTTTATCAAATTTATGATAAACGTATCAATTATAAATGTAGAGAAGCAGAGAAGAAAAATCACAAGATATAGCAAGAGCAAAAGATGATCTTCAAGTGTTGGTAGCTTGTTTTGATTTGCAGTTGATCCTTCCTACACCTTGTGATGATGTTTCAAGCTTCTACTATAAATGCCGCATGAACTGGTTTACTTTACAATTTTTAAGATGGTACTAAAGAGTGGTTATTAAAGTAGGAAATCCTTACAATGTTAGGGAAATGTCAAGAGGAGCCTTTTATGACTTTAAAGATCTCAGTTCAAAAATTGTAGGAAGAGCAAAAGATGTTGTATATATGTGGTACAGATGTTGTTGTATAATAAGTGTTGGTAGCTTATTTTCATTTGCAGTCGATTCTTCTGACACCTTGTGATGATGTTTCAAGCCTCTACTATAAATGTCTTCTGAACTGCATTAACTTTACAATTTGGAAGATGGTACGAAAGAGTGGTTATTAAAGTAGGAAATCCTTACAATGTAAGGGAAATGTCAATAGAAGACTTTTAAAAGATCTCAGTTAAAAAATTGGAGGAAACTTTACAAAGAATAAAAAAGAAGAAAAGTTAGTCTGGAATGATCTCCAAAGTTGACAAAAACAATCTTGGTTCTTTCCATCGAGTTAGAATCTATGGAGAGGGCATCACGTGACTAAAAACGACCTCACTTCGGCCATATTGTTATTATTGTTTTGACAATTTTGACAGATCGTATATGTTTGTTTACATTTGTTGTTTTTCGAATATTTTTAGTTTTATAATACTTTTATAGAAACTGTAATATATTGTGATAGTGCATAATAATGGTTTCTTGTTCTCAACGTAGTTGCAGTAGCAGAAGTAATGTTAATAAAAAATCTTTAGGAATATCGTTCCACAGGTCAGTATATAAATATGTAAACAAAGTAATGGCCCGTACTTCAGAGAATAAATTAATAGTATTTGACTGTATTAATTTATATTTATGTATAATATATAGTGTTTTTAGTGATTACCGCGGGATAAATAAATCATAGTTTATTAAAAATGTATTGCACTTTTATAGATTATGATTAGATCTTCTAAATAACTAGTCATATTTGTATAGTAGTTTTAATATTATTAAGTCTGGCCCAGATCCCGCCGCCATATTGGTATTATCGTTAGCCACGCCTACCTATGCCGTTTTTAATACATACGTTAATATGCTTATAGCTTCTCCATAGATTCTAACTCGATGGTTCTTTCTTTTATAAAACAGATTATAATGCCAATGAGTTTAAAGAGGTCCGTTTTAAAGTAACTACAATGACACTTGTATGCCAACTGCAAGGCATACATAAAGTCACCCTCGAAATCTGCAAAAACCAAGTAATACCTTTTGGATATGTGCAATAAAAACTTAATAATATCTGTTTATCACAAATTTTGTATGGGCTTGATCAATAGTATTCAGTTAAAAACATGTTTGTACACATTTAAAATAACAATAATAAAAATGTTTGTAATGACTAGTTGATTTCTTCGTTATATTTTCGCCGTATCTCCTAGGTATCGCTTTATAAATATTTTTTTTTTACAATGCAATATCGCTATAACTATCAAAATACAATTAAGGCTTACAAAAGACAATTATTTTTAATAAATTGTAAAAAAATCTAGCGCATAACTTTATAATTTGCTAACTAAATTGTAATTTTGAAGCTAATCATTCTCAAATAAATTATTTAAAAGGCATAACTCTATACCCTAGTTTCTTCTCTAACAAATATAAATGTATATTCTTTAATTAAATAAAGTTCTCATAATAAAATATAGTGACATAAAATCATTATTTTAGGCAAGAAAAAGGTCTTGGTTTCACCAGATCAAATAATCGATGGCAAAAAGTCCAAATGGTTTAATGGTATAGCTGTGTCCAAAAATGGTGATATCTTTTGGACAGACTCCTCAAGTACTTTTCATCTGGAGAATGGATTATTTGAGCTGTTGTCAGATCCATCTGGTAGGTAAGTAAAAATGTGACTCCTGTCTACTTGTCTAATTTTTCTTTCTAAAATATTAGTCCGATATATGAGTGTAAAATAATATTTAAATCACCTACAGTTCATTGTAGAAAGAAAATTAATATTGTCCCAAAAAAAACTTAAAGTAGCCATGTAATTGTTATTTTCTAATAAATTCTATGAATTACTTAATTAGTTAACAAAGAACATTGATTTAAGGAATTGATTTGGAACAACGCATTATTCCCCTGACAAGCAACGTCTTCCTTCACAGTGCGGTCCGTCACGATACATCCGGCTATTCGGCATTCGGTAATAAGTAATTATCAGACACTGACGAGGAGTGTGTAGTTCTTTGCATAAAATTATTTCGTCGCCAACTTTCCGTTGATGAACCTTAAGAAAAACTCGAACACCTTTTTTCGAGTTTTAAAATTCTGGTAGATTTTTAGTTGTGGAAGCTTGGAAATAAAACAATTTAACTTAAAATTACATAAACATAAATATTATTTTTATAAGAAACAAAACCTATAAACCTAAACTAAAAAAATTATTCTAAATAATTAAATTAAAATTAAAGGCATTTTTAAAAAAATCTCTAACCAATTAAATGTTCGAACAAGCCACCATTTTGCACTAAAGAAAATCCGAATCTATCAACTAAAGCAAGTCTCATTGCATTCAGCTGATTTGGCTGTACCCGACTACAGAGTTGAACATTTTTTAAATTGGTAGCTCGTTCGAATTCATGCCGACATAATTTTGATTTTAGCATTCCCTAGAAATAAAAATCCAAAGGTGCTAAATCTGGTGATATAGCGGGCCATTTTATTGTTCCTCGTATTGAAATTAATCGTCCAGGGAATGAAGACATTTCAGAAGACAAAATCCTTACCGGAGAATTTAAATCTCAAATGTGGTCTGTAATAGATAAGGAAGGTAATCTAAAGACCGATACTGACGACATATTGGAAACATGGTGAACTACTGTGGCGAGCTATATAAAAATAACGAGGTACCAATAGAAAATCAATGGCCCTCTCACTATCCTAGAGAACCTACTCTCTTACTCGCTGAAGTCAAAGATGCAATGACATCGCTAAAGAGAAGTAAATCCCCAGGTATTGATTCAATACTAAGTGAAATACTACGGGTACTAGGTAACAAAGGGTTATATATCATCCATTCTATCCGTGTCACTGCTACAAGATGTGAAAACTACTGCACACTGTCACTAATAACACATGTTAGTAAAATCTTGTTGCATATCATCAACAACAGATTAAAAACCTATCTACCAAATACCTCAGGAACAAGCGGGGGTTTTAAAGGGTAAAGGTACACGAGAACAAATCCTGAACCTGATACAACTCATTGAAAAGTCTAGAGAATTTCAAGTGCCTATGATTATATGCTTCTTTGACTACCTATGCATTTGATTGGGTAAGCTGGATAAATCGGTGGTCTCTTTTATTAGAAATGGGCACGCCAATGCACCTGGTGACACTTATTAAAAATCTGTACCAATCCAATATAGCAAAAGTACGACTAGATCAGAAGTTCTCAAACCAATTCAAGACCTAGAGAGGTGTTAGACAATGATGCGTGATGCAATGATGATACTCAACATTTATGGTGAAAATGTCATGAGGATGGCTTTAGATGGATGGTCTGGTGTAGTAACAGTGGCTGGTAGGAAAATATATTTATAGCAGCAAATGAGCAAGAAATGTTTAATCTCCTGCGAAGAGTTAAGTACGAAAGTAATAAAGTTGGTCTGAAAATAAATAAAGCTAAGACCAAAATAATGGTGGTCGACTAATTCCACACTATTCAATTGACTAACTTGTTACAGGTTATAGGAATACCAGGTATACTCCATTTCACGAATATACGACTGTTTTAAATTCGGTTTAAGGTCTCTATTCGAATGGTCCAATGTGCTGAATTGTACAATAGTAAATTATCCCTATTTTTAAAATACTGTTATGACTTAAAATTTAAATATGAAGTCATGATATAAATATAGAGTTGATAGTTTATAGAATAGTTCTAATTTAGATTTTGAAGTATATAATTACTATCATTGATTTTAGTATTGTAAACAAGTTGTTTTTTAAATTAAGTGATTAAAACGAAGTGTAACAATACTTAGGTGGTTAAATAGTCTAATTTATTTAGTCGAATATTCAATTAGTATTAGAAAAACAAAAAAACTTACTTATTCTCTTATTCTCCTAATCTCCTAAAACTATCATCAACCATCAGATTCACAGAACTTCACCATAGGACAGTACATTAAATACAAAGTTGTCTACAACACGTCTCGGCGTTTTTGGCTTCAATAAACAAATACACTACACTAAACTCTCTCTTAACGGCACCTTTCTTCATCGGACACCTCTATACGGACAGTTTTTAAAACTAAAATCAGTCGGCGATATATGAAACTGTATATAAATGTTCGTTACTTTTTAATATCTGTAACGACTCGGTACTTCAACTATCAATAGCCGGTATGTTATACCTTTACTTTCGGAACTTTTAAGAGTAGAAGTGAAATTATAGATCCTTTTTCTGTTTTCCAAACCATCATTCTGCCAATTTCTTTTCATTTATATTAAAAGTATATTTCTTTTTATTACAGTTGTAGTACCTAATATAGTAATAAAAAGTGTGATATCAAAGGAACCCGGCACGCCTCTTTGGTGTTTACATTTCACGGAAACCCAACCCAAATGTCTTATGAACACATTTTGGCTTCATAGAACTCATTGTATTTATTTGTAGGACCGTTTGCGTAAAAATTTTTGTTATTTTTGGATTAAATTTCACAATAAATTTTGCGTCTATCTGAACATATATTAACTGAAATAATTTTAGTGTGTCAAACTAACAGTAAATCCATTTTATTGGAATACTGTTTAGACCAATTTACTTTCATACTTCTACTTGCACAGTAAAGTATTCGTTGTCGTAGTAATCCAAAACAGTCGTATATTCGTGGAATAACCTATAGTGGACAGTTTTGTCTATCTCGGGTCTAGTATAACGATGGCAACTGTGAAGCAGAAGTTCGTAGACGTATTGGTATGGCAAAAAATACGATGAGTCGCCTAACTAAAATTTGGAAAGTCAGATCTATCTCTAAAAATATCAAGAAGAGACTGGTGAATGCCCTTGTATTTTCAATATTTCTATACGGGGCAGAGACTTGGACTTTTCGTTGACGCGAGCGCCAAATTGATGCTTTTGAGATGTGGTGCTGGAGAAGAATGTTGCGCATACCTTGGACAGCTCATAGGACAAACGTTTCCATTCTAAACCAACTCGATTAAAAAAAGGCTGTCTTCAATATGTCTGCAACGTATTCTGCAATTTTTCGGTCACGTGGTTTGGTTCGGACGATAGTTTGGAGATAGTTATTGTTTCTAGAAATGTTCCGGGGAGAAGATCAAGAGGACGATAGATACTCCGACCAAATTAAGAATTCAGCTGGAAACTCATTTTGCGAAGCTCTCAAAACAGCTGTAGATAGAGAGCAATGGAGAAAGATTGTTAGGAATATTGGAAGAAATCACGATCCTCAGTAATGAAGAAACGACAAGAAGAGAGAGAGAGAAAGAGAGAGAGAGAAAGAGAGAGAGAGAAGAGAGAGAGAGAGAGAGAGAGAGAGAGAGAGAGAGCGAGAAAGCATTTTATATGCCTTTATTAACAAGGTTTGTTCATTTCACTATTAATTGAACTTCACTTGAATTTTAATTTACTTTATTATTATTCATATTCAGATATTTTCATCTTTGTATCACTTTATAGTATTAATTACATATTGCTTATATTACTGCTTTATATTGTTAGTTTATATAACAATCGACTACCAAGCGCAATCTTAAGTTTTATTGTTATTAATATGATTGTTAACACCATTGATCAAAAACTATTTATTCACTTAGTTTTGTACTTTGTACTTTATTTTCGTGATTGTTATTTATCCATAGAATATTCCGTTGGTTACTAGAGGGATTTCCCTTCTTAATACAGCATATAAAATTGTGTCCCTGATACTTAACGAACGACTGGCACGGTATACTGACAGTATAATAGGATCCTATCAAAGAGGCTTCTTAAAAAACAAATCTACCATTGATCACATATCATCATCAGACAAATATTAGAAAAATCGACGGAGTACGACATAGACTGCCATTACATCTTCGTAGACTTTAAGGCAGCGTACGATACTATTGACAGGTCCCAATTATATTCGGCGATGATCGAATTAGGAATACCAAAAGATTTGGTAGAATTAATTAAAATGACAATGATGAAAGTCGAATGTAAAGTGCGCGTATAAGTGGATGTTTCAAAACCATTTAAAACCAACAGAGGACTGCGCCAGGGAGATTGTTCAACCTAGCGTTAGAAAAAGTTATGAGAGATTCGGGAATAAACTTAAAAGGTTCGATATATACCCGTAGTATACAAATAATGGCATACGCTGATGATATCGTTTTAATTGGAAGAACCCAAAATGAAGCAGTGGAGACTTTCACACGTGTCAAAAATGCCGCAGAAAACATCGGACTTCTGATTAACATCCAGAAAACTAAATATATGCCGGCCATATCAAGAATTCAACAAAATAACTTAGAGGTGCAACACGAAACGATAGAAATGGTAGAAGAATTCTGCTACTTAGGATCACTGGTAGAGTACAAAAATAACACATCCAACGAGATAAAAAAAAGAATATGCGTGGCTAACCGCTGTTATGGGTCCTCAACTAAGAGCGAGAAGTATGTCAATAGCAACAAAGTGCAAACTTTATAAAACAATAATGGCGGAGTAAACGAACAGGGTCTGTGGAGAAGGCGATATAACTTTGAACTCTATAGACTTTTTGGTGATGCAGATATTGTGAAGACCATCAAAATAAACCGCCCAAGGTGGGTGGGTCACGTTATGCGGATGGATGAGAGTGATCCCACTAAAATAACTATGCTAAACAGTTCGGTCGGAAGAAGAAGTAGGGGGCGACCTAAACTCAGATATCTGGACGATGTACATGAATATCTGAGGGAGATTGGAGTGAGGGGCTGGAGAAGACAGACACTCGATAGGGAAGGATGGAAGAATGTTTTGAAGCAGGCCAAGGCTCACGAAGGGCTGTAGCGCCAACTGATGATGATTCCGTTGGTTAATTGTCGCTCTACTAACTTTAACGAAATATTTGTTGTTGTAGGTACGTTGCATATTTTAATTTTGTAGAAATAGATGAGTTAGAATTAAATTGATATGTAATATATGTTCTTTTATTTAGAAAGTTTACTTGCTTATTTATTTTGTATTTCGTTATATAAATACTCAAGTCGAAGAGGAGACCGACATTGTGCTAGACTGAACATACATAACTAGATTCCCTTTCTGATGTTCGCATATGTTATATCGCATCGCGATACATCACATCGCATGTTTAGGTAGCAACAAACAATATATAGTTGAGATGATTTAATTCCAGAGGTAGAAATCCCAGTAATACAGAATCAAGGTTCAGAGGAACTTCCGAATATAACCGAAGAGAAAATCAGCTTAACAGGAATGAAGAACAAACAAAACACGTTAGGAGGATGTCATTGTAAGTGATTTGATAAAGGTAGTGGGCAAATGCACCAAAAAGCCTTAAAAACACTTTATAATGCCTGCCACTTTTGAGGATACCTGAACAATGGAATAATGTTGTTATGATACTATTGCATAAAACGAGATATGTAACAGAAATTGGAAACTAAGACCTATCAGTTTATTATCTCATTTATACAAGCCCTTTATGAGAATAATTACTAACAGACTGGGAACTAAGCTACATTTTTACCAGCCTCTATAACAAGCCGAATTTAACGGCAATATAACGACTGACCAGCTACAAGTAATAAAATCCTTAAAAGAGAAAGTTATAGAATACAATAAGCCATTTATATTAATATTTGTAGACTTTGAGAAAGTATTTGACGCAGTCCAGCATACCTCCATGTCAAGAACGCCTACATAGTGCAGTATTTGCATCTCTCCTAAACTATTCCTCGCCTTGTGCTATGAGAAGTAGTAAGTGGGAAAAGATTGTAGTCAACATAAACGGAGAATTTTTGAATAACTTGAGGTTTGTAGACGATCTAGTCCTTATGGCACACCGGGTAGATCATGCAGCCGGGTAGATCTTGCCGTTTGGTATTTTACTGGGCACCGACAATGTCCTCTGAGCCCTACTTGCCTGTTTACATATAATTTGCATATCGTGTTAGCAACTTCTTGAGGGATTTGTAATTGCATCTTTTTTCCCGTAAGATGAACCAGTTGACATTGTCGTAGGCACCTTTAACATCTAGAAACATCGTTCCATTATATTCGTTTTCAGTTAAGCGTATTTGTATGTCTGTAACTAAGTGTGTCACCGCATCTATGGTGCCAAAACCTTTTTTAAAACCATATTGTGTAGTTGACAGAGCGCCGGTTGTATTTAACCACTATTCCAATCGGTTTTAATTCAACTACAAAAAATTGTTCACATTATTAGAAACCGATACAAATGCACCGCTTTATAAAGGTCAGTGTATTTTTATCCAGTTTATGTACTCTTAAGAAATTAACCGGGAATGTGTAATAAACATTGAATTCGAATGACGAGATGTCCATCGCACCCGTCATTACATGCTACTAATGATTTTCACTGATTTTCGATTTGTGTCGGAGGAGATTGGAAATTACAAATACCTCGTACGAGGCAATGTTGCCGATTTTAGCGCTGTATGTACTGTACAATATCTAATCCAGACTTAACGTACTGTATAGGGTAAATCATGGGAGGAATAATTATGTGTTAACTCAATGCTGTTTTTAGGTTAGTTCATTATGATGCTAAAACAAAAACGAATACAGTGCTTATCGATAAAATTCATGCAGCCAACGGTGTAGCTCTGTCTGATGACGAAGAATTCGTTTTAGTATCAGAATCTGTTACCGGTAGAATTCTTCGTTACTATTTGAAAGGTTCGTTCAAGGGAACATATGATGTTTTTATTGATAGATTACCAGGTCTTCCAGACAATATTAATTCTGACAATGCTGGCGGATTCTTAGTAGCACTTGTTACACCTATCGACGACGAGCATCCAAATATTGTGCAGATTCTGCAGCAATTTCCTTTGGCTAGAAAATTCATTGTCAGAATGTTGGGGATTACACAATGGATTTTTGAACAAATAAATAAGATTTATCCAAATGATATGGCCAAAATGGGAGTATACACTGTAAGTATTTTGCAAAATTAACACAAATCTGTTCGTGTTTTGAAAAGTTGTTAGATTTTTATGTAAATATTTTATTTTTTTCATTTAAAACTTTTTAACTTCGTATGATCTGATGCAATTAATAATGTGATTTTTAATATCTTTAAATTGCTGTGCGCCAATCAAAGGCATTCTCTAGATTACAAAAGCAGCCACTATATGCCGTCGCTTGTGTGTAAAATAATTAATTTTTATTTCCAGAACACTCACTTAAATTAAATCAATGAACCGTTAAATATTGTTAATTTTATTACTTAGCTTGAACGTGCTAGCCGGTATTATTTTGTTTTTCACACGGTGCTTTGAATTTACACCTATTTACTCTACCAGCCAGATTTTCAAGGAGCTGCTTACAGTAGCTTCTTTGACAGAGAAGAAATTTCAAAACGGTAAGTAAGCGGCATCTTTTGTTTTTACTTCGAATAATCGCTGGCATGCCCTATTTGCTCATAATTATATCTACAGTGATTTTGTGTACAGTTATATCTACAGTGTAACAAACCCTTACGGCCATGTACTGCCCAACTGCCCTGCTAAATCAGCTAATTAAATATTTCCTACCACAACAGTTCATTATGATTTAAGTAAAACAAACTGCATATAAGGCCAGTGTTGCAGAATTGTATTTAAAAAAAAAATATGAAAATTGTAACCAAAGCTCTTGTATCAAGGTCACATCGAAACTTCTTCTTCTTATTTCTCTTTATAAGCAATTCTGCTTGTCCGTTAGCGGTATTACTTCTATCGAAGGTTGTCACTCCATTTTTGCGCAGTCGTCCGATGCTGCTTCTGCCGGTTGGTGATTTATAATAATAATAATAATACATTGCCTTTATTTAGTCTGAAAAAATTTACAAACACGAGATATATGAAGCGAAGTCTAGCTAGAGCTACTTCACTTAACCTCAAGTTTACAAAGCTAGTTTAAAATAATTGATGATTTATAAAATGAAAATGAAAAAAGTGATTTATAATTTGACATAAATAATAATGTAATATTGAAATGATAGAAATAGTCATGTGGCTACTAGAAAAATAATATAAAGAAAATAATTTGTGATGTTATGTGACAAATGATATGAATGATAAATAAAAACAAAAATATCTAATAGTAACAATAACGACAACAATATACTATATAATAATAATAACGTTACTTAAATTTATTGTTAAACTATTAAACACTAAAACATCATTGTAAGTAAACGATCGCTGGAAAATAACTATTATCTCTTGCTCTTGCTTGATATTTATCTTTTGCTATTTTGACGACACGAGTCTCCCCCATTCTGCTTATGTGGTTATTCCATTCTTATTTTTCTATTTTGTATCCACTCATTTATCCACTGTACGTTACATTTTCTTCTAACGTCTTCACTTTTCTCTCGGTCTCTCAGCGCATTTCCTGTAGTTATTCTCAGTACTCCCACCTCTGCCGTTTCCAGTAGCCTTTATGTTGGTTCCGTCGTTTTCGTGGTCTTCCTACTGGACCCCTATTCACTAACTTAAGTGAGTGGTCGTGTAGGAGTTCTCTCTCACAATTTTGATTTAATGCGCATGTTACTCTCCTGAAATTGTAAAATCCGTATTCACGAAAATGTAAGAGAACGTTTATATAGTCCTTTGCGAGTACTCTACTACTCTACTGGGTAAAACTAAGAGAATCGCTAAATTTTAAGAGAATTGACATGCGCCGTAAAAATTATAGATGACAGAAGGCCAATAAAATGAAGAAGATTTTATATTGTATACAATACATATAGTTTATATGAAAGAAAGGTTATTGAAATTTTAAAAAGGTTGTTGACTTCTATTTGTATTTGGTTTTTATATATTGTTTTTTTTAATGGATGATGACGATATAATAATGTTAATGTTTCGTCTCTACGTCTCTATTTCCAACGGGAAGACCCTTTTTTGATGTTATCTGAGGTGAATTTTATTAAACATTTCCGTCTCAATAAAGACAGCTTTATATATCTTTGTGAAAGTTTTTTTATATGTGGAAGTTGCAGTAAATTGCCTCCTACGCAACTCTTCATGTTGCTCCATGAAACTAATTAATAATTTCTTTTGTGCCTCACACAACATTTTTTTAATATATAACTAAAAGTCCTTAAACGTATAGTTTATATTAATAATGAGAATTGACAAGACAAGTGATACAATAACTAACCTAATAGCAAAAACTTTGCTTCTTCATTTCGCTTTATCGTGAATATGGTTGTGGCTAGGCCTACAGTAGGTACATTTGAACTAAATAATAAGTGAAAGTTACTCGGTCGCTTTGGCAACGCTGGGTAAAATGTAGTAGACTCACTGAATCATAGTGAATAGGGTTTTTTAGCACCATGTGAGCGATGACCGAGAGAGTACTCACACCGATGAGTTGTCGTAAACGAGCACTCTCACGAGTTGCAGAATACGGATCCTGATCGTCTTCGTATTGGGGAACGGTCTCTTGCCTCTTTACTACTCTATTTATTGTCATTTGGCTTATATGATCGTTCCATTCTAATCTTCTATTTCTTACCAAGTTCTTGATGTTTTAGTGTCTTGTCATCAATTTTTTTAATTGTTTTCATCTCTGCTGTTTCTAACATCCTTTTTGCCCTTTCTAATGACTGTTTTGTAAACTCTACCTTTCATTTCTTTCCCGATTTTTTTTTATTTCTCCATATTGTTTCATTCAGGCAGCCTGCGGCTCTGTTTGCTTTATTTACTTGATCTTCCACTTTTCGAGCTTTCCGTAGTTAGATAATGTGATGCCTAAATATTGAAACTCCATCATTTGTTCTATTATCTGACCTGCCAGCCTAATTTTACATCTTAGTAAATTTGTTGTTGTAACCATTCATTTTGTCTTTTTTGGAGAAATTAACACGTTAAATTTTCTGGCGGTTTTATTAAATTGATGCAGCATACGTTGCAAATCGTATTCACTTTGAGAGAGTAGAATTGCGTCGTCTGCATAGCAGATAATTTTAAGTTGTTTTTCTCCCATTTGGTATCTTTTTTAGTTCTTACTTTTTTTATTATATTATCCATAATCAGGTTGAACAATAGAGGACTCAGGAAATCTCCCTGTCTTATCCCATTGCCAGCTTCAATAGGGTTGGTTAGTTCTTCTTCCACTTTTACTTTTATTGTGTTGTTGTAGATATTTTCGATCGTTTTGATTATTCCTAGAGGTATCTCACTTGCATACAATAAGTGGATAACGTCCTTTAATTTGACCCGATCAAATGCCTTCTTAAGGTCCACGAAACCGAACCTAACCTAACCTAGATATGCCGGTTTGTTTTGTAACGTTATAAACGTCACATCTCTATTAATTTATATTTAAATAATTATTTCATTTTAATTTGTTTATTAATTTATTAATTTGTTTATCTTGAGTGAATTTTTACTATCTTTTTTATTTAAAAAGTAGTTGGCGCCCTTTCTGTCCCTATATATTTCTTCCCCTGTTTTCATTTCTTCCTCTGTCATTATTTACTCTCTCTTTCTGTCACGTAGAATAAATATTTGCCCTCTCTTTTTGTGTTATGTGTTGACAGACAAGTTAGTTTCATGAAATAGCAACATCCTATGACATCTGTGCTAACTTCAAGCAGTCTCCCACTTTCTGTCAGTTAAATGTCCTAATGTAGTGGGAATATAATTTTTTGTCTGATTTTGATTTTATAAAAGAAGGCAAAAATTATAATTAGACTCTTTTATGGTCTACAAATTATCTTGGGTTTATCGGGAATATTTTATTGATAATATTCAACGTTTATTGGGAATATTCAAAGTTTCATTGGGAATATTTACATTTTATCATCTTACATCAAACCGTACGACCACATGTAACTGCAGCATATTATTGGAAATATCTACATTTTATCATCTTACATCTAATTGTACGACCACATGTAACTGCAGCTCTCCAGAACTAGAACATTCCATTAGAGGACCTAGCGGCTAGCACACACAAGTAGCCATCGAACAAAGCAATAAGTATTGCATTAATTGTTAAGCTTTGGCAGGGTCTATTATTGTGTTTTTTTTATTCTTTTAAATAAATATGTTTGGTTAAAATTTGTTTTATTTGCTATCAACTGAGAACTCAGGTTCAATCCCTATTTTAAGACAAGACGAACTCACCCTTGAGCTAGGCAAGGTATAGACGATAAGCTCCCATGGTTGATTGAGGTATTATTTTTACAATAGTGGATGATCTTCCCGACCTAAAGTCTTGTTCTTCTGCTAGTATTATAGTTTCATTCAGTTTATTTGTTATCACTTTGGTTGTTAATGTTAGTGTTGTGTTTAATAAATTAATTCCTCTCTAATTTTCTGGGCCCAATTTGTTTCCCTTTTTGGAGAGAGGTATTAGGATGCTTGATCTATATTTTTGAGGAATTCTGTTTTGTTCTATTATTTTTTGGATTGGTTTCAATAGTTGTTCGGTTAGATCTGGTACTTCGTACTTTAGGAGTTCGTCCGGCATTCTTTCCTCTTCTGGTGATTTTCTATTTTTTAATTACCTTAATGCTTCCTCCCCTTCCCCTTCCTCCTCAATATTTATTTCTTCGTTTGTCGTCACTTCTGATGTTGGTGGTTCGTTGTCGTCACCTTTAGCAAATAGGAATCGAAAGTAGTCTACCCATGTTTTCTTTTGAATGTGTTTCATTTTTATTAGTTTGTTCATCTCTTTTCTTTGTCCTCTGATCATTCTGCATATTTCTTTTTGTGTTCCGTATAAGTCGTGTTCCATCTGTTTTGAGAAGCTCTGCCAATGTTCCCTTTTTATTTGTCTAACTAAAGTATTCGTTTCATTTCTGATTCATTTATGGTGGTTATATGCCTGTTGTGTTTGTTGTGTTCTGTATTATAAAAAAGGCTTTCTTCTTTTCTTCACATATTGTTTTTCACTTCCTCTCTGACCCATGGTGTTTCCTTTTTTGACATGTTAGTGTTCGTTGCTTTTCTCTCTCCAAGTGATTCTGTTGCTGCGCTAATTATGTTATTTTTGAGTTTTTCCCGGATTTCCTTGATGTTATCGTTTTCAACAAAAAATGTGTTGTTTATTCTGGTTCTTATTGTAAATAAGTTCTTTATTCGTGCAGAAGTTCGTCATCAGTTCTCCATTTTCGTTTTTAACATTCTCGTTATGTTTTTGCTTAATTCCGAGTATTACCTGATTGCGTAATCGAGCGTCAAGATCCCTCCAATATCATCATCTTCCCTCTGACTTGATCTACTACTTGTTTTAATTGGTCATAAAACGTTTCCCTTATTCTTTAAAACCCATAGCATAAAATTTTAGTTTTGAGTTTTGCCAACACATGTGAAGCATTTAAAATATGCTTAAACACGCTAAATTTACACTTTCACAGTACAAACGATCTAAAACGTTTAAAACTGCACCTTTTTAATTACACTAGTACGTTTTTCAAAAGTGCCCAACTTCTGCTACAAATTGCACCCAAAACCGTCTTCTTGGAGCCATTTCCCGTGACGTGTCATCGTTTGCGCTGTAGAAGTTTAAATTCTGCATTTTTTAGTCATATTTCAAATGCCTCATGTTTGTTGTCACAACTCAAAATTGAAATTTCATATTGTAGGTTTTAAAAATTGGTCTCTAAAAATGAAAATTTCACTACGACCGGTCAGTGAAAGTAATACATTTTATTGATCTTACAGGAATCGTAAAAAAGGCAAAGACTTAATTTGAGACAAAAATTACAGATTATAGATTCTTCGTAAATAATTTTTTCCCTTTTCCCCTTCTACGGGTGGTTTTAGGGGGAAAGCCGGGGGTAAAGTGGTAAACTCTTTTGCATCTTTTCTGAGGTCCCAAAATTAATATTCTTAACCAAATTCAGCTTTTTTTAGGGGTCACATCTCTGACGACTGGACTATAATAGAAACGCTAACTTTTTTGTGCGCTAAATTTTATTTTTCCGTTTTGTACATTATTGTTTACATACAGCGCTATTTTTTTAGGTGAAGTTTTGACATGTATTTTGGTTTCAGACTATTTTTTCTATTGTCAAAATGTTCGACTCTTGTTTTAATTATTTACTAATTAGTATTAATTTTTAGGTTGGAAGGATTGCTCCACTTACACAATTGGTTGAATCTTCTCGAGTGACCATACTACGAATATCCAAAGATGGTGTAATACTGGACAGTTTGCATGCTACAAATAAAAAAATACGCGCCATATCCGAAGCTTACATCTTTAACAAATTTCTTTACCTCGGATCATCGCAAGAAGATTACGTAGCAAGAATTTCGTTGGCTGAGATAGGTTGGAAACATCTGGACCACAGTAAAAAGAATCAATGAAATAAAAAATATTAAAATGTCTTCTTACGGCATAATTTATTTAATTTTTTTAAGATTAGTACGACCAATTCAGATTCAGGTGACAAATGAACTTTGTGATATTTCATATTTCCATGTTGATAATAGTCGATAATTAACATTCACAAAAAATTGGATTTCTTGGTATTTTTGACAGAAAAATCCTTAGAAAGATTATTGGATCGTAAATGAAAATGGGCTATGGCGTCGATAATACAACATTAAACTATATATCAGTTAAACACCGATCCGGATATTGTGAATTTCGTTAGATGTTTCTTAGTGCAGAGACTTAGATGGCCTGGACACATTGCTAGGGTGTCATATCAGGAATACACGAAGAGATTAACAATTACAAAACCAGAGGGCACAAGAAGCAGATGACGACCACGAAGGAGATTGATTGATGATGTGGAAGAAAACCTATTGTATATTCTAAGGGTTAGAAAATGGAGGGAAGTTGTCAGGAATCGACACGACTGGCGACTTCTTTGTGAGCAGGCCAAGATCCACAACAGATCGTCAAGCCACTTATGATGATGAAAAAGTTGGATAGTCTAATTCATGTAGCTGAATTACATTATAGAAAAGTAAGATTATAAATTTATCTTGTTGTTAAATTTTGACCTTCCTATAATTTCTATGTTTTTTATAGATCCAAAATTATAGACATCATCATCATCATCTTTGGCTCGACAATCCTCTATGGATCCTGGCCTGCTCTAAGATTAGTCGCCATTCTGTTCGGTTTCTGGCAACGGTTGCTATCTTCTGATCTCTAGTGGATGTCGGTCTATGTCGGTCTCAACTCCATCTAACCAGTTAATTCGTGGTCGGTCTCTGCTTCGTGTTTCTATAGGTGTTCCTGTCGTTAGATTTTTAGCAATTATGTTGTCAGGCATTCGTATTATGTGCCCGTCCCATCTAAGTCGCTGTGTTTTAATGAACGTTACAACATCTGGTTCACTAAAGAATTGGTATAATTCGAAATTAAATCTTCTGCGCCACTGCCCTTGATCGTTTATAGGTCCAAATTTTTGGAGAGTATCTTACGCTCGAATATTTCCAGAAGTCTTTTATCCTTCCGCGTTAGAGTCCATGTTTACGCCCCGTATGTGAGGACTGGCCTTAGCAGTGTTTTGTATATAATAATTTTAGTTTTTCTTTCAATATTTATTGAGTTGAATTGTTTTTGGAATCCATAGTATGCCCTATTTGTAAAGTTTATTCGTCTTTTAATTTTTTCGCTTTTTTTTATTGGCAGTAGTCAATAAGGGAGAGCGCCCACCAAACTGGCATGGCAAGTAGCACGCGTCTAGCATGTTACTTAAAATGTAATCAATGAAAACGAATGATTCAGCGCACGCCAAAATGACAGTGACGTCATTCATTCTAATCATTCGCTTGCATTGGTTACATTTTAAATATCATGCTAGACGGGTGCTACTTGCTACTTGCCACTTGCCATGCCAGTTTGGTGGGCGCTCTCACTAACGAACCAAGGCGTGTGAAGCTGTTAACACGTTCGAAGATATGACTTTAAAATGCTGTTCCCGGTCCTCATTTGCTAGAGAATCCTTAGTAACCAACATGTACTTGATTTTGTCTTCGTTGATGACTAGACCGACCGACGTGCCAGTTCTGAGCTGACCGTTGAATGGCGACCGAAGAGTACATCCAAGCACCCAAAAGTAACCCAGAGCCTCGCAGCAAGACGGTTCAGCGGGAGGCCAAGGCACGGGACCGAACTCGGATCCATGAAACCCAACTCGTAAGAATTAGGCTCATTTTCCCTCGCCCAGGCACCACACGTCAATCGTGACCTGCTTCCTCGCCAAGCCAGACACCCCCGATCCTCAGAGCCAATCCTTAGCCCGAAGTTACGGATCCAATTTGTCGACTTCCCTTACCTACATTATTCTATCGACTAGAGGCTCTTCACATTGGAGACCTGCTGAGAATATGGATACGAACCGGCACGAACCTCCACGTGGCCCTCTTCTGGATTTATCAAGTTCCGATGGGAAGATCTGGACACCTTTGCAACTGCGGTGCTCTTCGTGTTCTAAACCATATCCCTCTGCTAGAGGATTCCATGGAACTCGAACGCTTATACAGAAAAGAAAACTCTTCCCGGACCACCCGACAGCGTCTCCAGGTTCTTTTTGGTTACCCCGACGAACTCTCTTGCGAGGGTCCGACTTTTTGCCGGGTTCCGGAATAGGAACCGGATTCCCTTTTGCTCGACGGGTGTGATGGATTTCAATGTTAAATTCTAATGTTTTCTCGAGAATCTGTCTTATTAAATGAATCTGGTCAATTTTTGATTTTTCTGGAGTAAATCCGGCCTGGAATTTTCCAACTATACCCACTGTGTAAACTTGCAGCCTTTCGTAGAGAATATTTGCTAGTATTTTGTAAGCAGTTGTTAACAGAGATATACCTCTGTAGTTGTCACACTGGAGTTGATCGCCATTTTTATGTAATGGGCATATCACGGCTTGAGACCATTCACAAGGGATGGTCTCATTTTGCCAGACAAGAAGTAAAAGTTTATGTGGTGCTTGTAGCAGGGCGTCGCCACCATTCTTATGGACCTCACTACAAGTACAAGTACAAAAGTTATAGCCTTAGTAATTGAAAAATGACTTATTTGCATTGATTGTTGTCAGATTTCGAAGTGAATATATTACAACAACGAAGCTGATCATTTACTACTATTGTCCAACATTTTTATCCAAATTTCTAGTCTTTTCAACGATTTACGGTAGTTCAGCTAAAATGAAAGCAAATATATTGAAATTGATCTTCATACACTGTATGTAGCAAATGTATAATAAAACGTTTATATTGGAACATTTTGATGTCCTAATATAAACTTTTGTGTGTCCAAATATAATGTTTTAATAGACAATATCTTACACATAAGATATTGTGTACATTGTTGATGCAAGTTATGTTCAGTGTGTAATTGTTATCACTATTGTTTTTGTATTTATGTCACAAATTGTTTAACCTTTCAGCGTGACAGGCACAGTTTATCCATTAAGTGCTAAAAATAATTGTTATTACTATACCATAGTACCACAATTGTAGCACATGATTCATATTTACAATGTACACCTCTGCTGGTTTGAGGGGAAAGAAAATCGACGAGTCATAGGTATAGGGTTAATATTTAAAAAGTAATGATTGATTGAAAAATAATAGATAATGATTGATGAACTAATTGATTGTCATTAAAATTATTTTCTTATTTTATAGATGCCTTAGACGAAGAAAACTAATACTTGTTAAATATATTTTTTTAGGAAAAACCCTTTATCTGTTTGATTAAACAAACTTATAACTGATTCACGGATTAAATTTAATTTCTATTGTCAAATGAGATTTAATGACATGGATTAGAAAAAGGGTCGTCTAGTAACTTTTAGCACAGGTAAAACTGAATTACTTAAACATTTATTAGTACGAAACACTACTAGTAACCTTAACTGAATATTTATTTCCATAGTATATAACAAATATATTTAACTAAAAACTACTATTTAACGTTATATAATCTTATCTGAGTCATCTATGTTATCTTCAGATTCATCAGTAGTATCTTTGCCTAGATCCACAACTACTGGTTCAATGGTAATTTCAATAAAGTCATCAAGGTTGCACATATTATGGTATTTTTTCACTACGTTCTCCATACTTCACTACATGCGCACTTTATCCACGACAGTGGGATCAGATTGCTGACGGCACTATTAAGCAGATTTTTTATATCACTGAACTTGAAAGTAACATTGTTCCCTGCTACTTCATTATTATTTGAGCCCACATAAGTTCCATTGGATTTAACTCATTGGATATGCCGGTAATGGAACTACAATCGAACTACAATACACCTCGTTCTGGTGCCATTTCATCTACTACATATTAGAACAGATCATGGTTCGATTTTTAACAAAATATCTGAAAACCATTTTTCATAAAATATCCTGCATCCATTTCCTCATGGTAATCTCCAGTCTTAAAAAAAATTATTTAAACCTCCTTCAACAAATCCTGAGTCGCTACCAATCTGGCAAATAATAAGACGGTTTATCTTTTCAGATGGGGCTTTTAAACATGTCGACAAACCAACTAGGAATGCTTGTTTGTTTTTCTCATTTAAATCATGCCAAATTTTTGTCGCAATATGTCCTTCATTTAAACATGTTTCATCTGTATATGTTTTTTTTTCATCTCTTCGAAATTCTGCTATATGTTTCATGATACTTTCTGTGCGATAAAATTCTTCTTCTTTTTTTTTTAATACGGGTCCTATTCTCCTTTCTCTTTCATTACGTTAAAGCTCAGTTCATTTCACGTAAAGTACTTAAAAAACACGTCTTGATATTTTTGGAACATTTTCATTAGATTGAAGAGAAGAAGCAATTTTTTTGATAGTTGGTAATTACTTTTTGTAATAAAACTTATGTACTGCATGAGGAATGGCCTGTTTGGTTGTATCATCCAATTTTATTTGTTTCCTCCCTCTTGTCTCAACCTTCAAAGTATTATTATCATTTGTATCATCGTCTATTTTAATTACTGTCCTGAAACTTTTGTCAAAATACTACATAATGTAACTACATTGCTTATATTCATATTTGGTTCTCTGGCTCTATGTCCTTCAAAAACATTTCCCATCATAGTTTTGTTTTCGGGTGTTAAATTGTGACGTTTCTTTTTGATATACGGTTCACTATTAGTATTGTCAGTCATATTTATTATTTGTCACCAAATTAAATTAAACTAAATTACTCACAATTCACAAAAGTAAACGTAAAATGCCGCTAATAATACTATAAACAATTATGTTCTCTGCTTTATGAAATCTCTATCAGTACGCTTATGAAACCGACTTAAGATAACAGAGAATAAAATAGCTACCCGAACAATGGCGTCGTTGCCAGTTACATCGCGTTAATTTGGGACGACGTCGTTGATC